CTTTACATTAGGAAATGCCGACAGCTACTGCCATTTTGGATAAAGGAATAAAGGTCAATTGCTGTACTTGTCCCTTGTTGTTATCCCTATATCCTCAGGGTTGCATCTATTCAGATTGATGACTTACTGGACAGCAATGGTATTGTCATATCTACACACACCAAGCTTTAACATTTTCGTCAGCATTTATTAGGAGCGTCAACTTAGTCTGTTACATTAATATTACTATTATTTTGTTCTGTTTCCTATTTCTCTGTTGCTATTGCCTTTATCCAGCACTAAGCAATACTTTTAAAACAGCTGGCATTACCCATTTCATTCAACAGTTTCATAGATTATAAGGCCAGAGGGGATTATTGTGATCATCCAGTCTGACCTCTGATGCAACATTGACCATAGAACTCCCCTGAATTAACCCCTGCTTGATTTACAGCATCTTTTAGAAAAATTTCCAATCTTGATTTACTAGTGACAGAGAATTGAGACAACCCTTGTTACATTGTTTCCAAGTTAATTACAGTCTCTGTTATACAATGGTGAAAGTAACCTTTTCTTTTTCCAGGTATCCTATTGCAACTCAGATCCCTGCCAGCCCTGTAAATAGCTCTGTGCTGGCTTTTGCCACAATTCAAGCAGCTCTTGCTGAAGCTGCACACCAGGGCCCACCTGCTTACTTTCCCCTCTGCTGTTATAAAAAAATTGAGCCTTATTTGTAGTTTGAATTTGTCTAGATTCATCTTCCAGTCTATGGCTCTTGCTCTTGTATTCTTTGATGGACTGAAGAGCCCTCATCATATTTTTGTTCCCTTATGTGTTTGTACTGGCTCCGATCAAGTCACCCCTTACCCATCTTCTCTTTGTTAAACTAAAGACATTCCACTCCTTTACTATCACTCTAAGATAGATGTTCCAAGTCCTGGTTAATTCTTGTGGTTCTTCTACCATTCTTCTTTAATTTATCAACATCATTCTTCAATTTTTGACACCAGAACTGGACACAGTATTTCAGACACACATTTGCCACACACAGAGGTAATATAACCTTTCCACTTATACTCACAATTCTCCTGTTTACACAGCCAATGATTATATTTGCCTTTTTTGGCCCCCACACCATCCTGAGAGCTCATAAGCAGTTGATTAGACACCAGTATCCCCAAATCCTCTTCAGAGTTACTGCTTCCCAGTATAGAGGTCCCCATCTTGTAAGTATTTCCAAATTCTTTGTTCCAAGATGCATTAACTTACATTTGCAATATTAAAACACATTATTGGCTTGAAGCCAAGTTATAAGTGATCATGATCGATCTATATCTGTTACCTGTCATTATTTACCACTTCCCCAATCTGTGTTATCTGTAAGCTTGCTTGTGTTTTATAATCTGTAAGCAAGCTTGTTTTCTTCTGTATTAAAATTCTGAATAGTGGGACTTGGTTAAAAAAACATCCAGTCAACAATTCCTGATTTACAATTACTGAGGCCTATCCTTTTGCTGCATGCTATCTTAATTTTGTGTGTCTCTAGTTTCTAATCAAAATGTCTTGCTGTAGCAAGTAAAATGCCTTACAGAAATCTATGACATTAACATTACCTTATCAACCAAACCTGTAATTTCATCAAAAGACATAAGAATGGCCGTACTGGGTCAGACCAAAGGTCCATCTAGCCCAGTAGCCTGTCTGCCGACAGTGGCCAGCACCAGGTGCCCCAAAGGGGGTGGACCGAAGACAATGATCAAGCGAAGACTCCTGCCATCCTTCTCCAGCCTCTGACAAATAGAGGCCAGGGACACCATTTCTATCCCCTGGCTAATAGCCTTTTATGGACCTAACCTCCATGAATTTATCTACCTCTTTTTTAAACTGTTAGGCTACGTCTAGACTGGCATGATTTTCCACAAATGCTTTTAACGGAAAAGTTTTGCGGAAAAGAGCGTCTATTAGATTGGCACGTGCCAATCTAGACGCGGTTTTGCGCAAGAAATCCCCGATCGTCATTTTCGCCATCGGGGCTTTTTTGCGCAAAACAGTTTTTAGCTGTCTACACTGGCCCTCTTGCGCAAAAACATTTCCGGAAAAGGGCTTTTGCCCGAATGGGACCGTCAAAGCATTTGCGCAAAAAGCACTGATTTCGGACAGTAGAACGTCAGTGTTTTTGCACAAAATCAAGCGGCCAGTGTAGACAGCTGGCAAGTTTTTGCGCAAAAGCAGCCTTATAGCCCTAGCTTTCACAGCCTCCTCTGGAAGGAGTTCCACAGGTTGACTACACTGTGTGAAGAACTTTCTTTTATTAGTTTTAAACCTGCTACCCATTAACTTCATTTGGTGTCCTCTAGTTCTTCTATTTTGGGAACTAATAAATAACTTTTCTTTATTCACCCTTTCTACACCACTCATGTTTTTATATACTGTATAACAGGATCATAGACTGTGGACACCTGTTGATTGGCTTTTATTTACATATTGTCCATGAAGATGCCTCCTAACCCTTCTACCAACAATACTCTAGAGTCAGATGTATGATCTGAAGCCCTAGCTGTTTGGATTTTTTTACTTTATCACTGGTATTGCAATAGCACTGAGAGCCGTTGTTCCCAACCAGGGATACACAAACACCTTCCAGTGGGGACATCAACTCACCTACATATTAGCCTATTTTTACAACAAGCTGCATAAGAAGCAATAATTCAGTAACAGTAACATATCCAACAATGGCTTGTTTATAATGCTCTACATACAATACTGAAATTAAGTATATAATTTATATTTTAGTTTATTTTTATAATTATAAAGTAAAAATAAGAAAGTAAGCAATTTTTCAGTAATTAGTGTACTGTTACACTTTCTATTTTTAGGTCTGCTTTTTGAAAGCAAGTAGTTTTTAGTTAAGGTGAAACTTGAGGTATACAAGACAAATCAGGCTCCTGAAAGGATACAGTAATCTGGAAAAATTGAGAACCACTGATTTAGAGAGCCTAGGCTCATTGTGGTAAGTAGTAGGGATGTAAGTGACTATTCAATAAGCAAATGCTGGGTCAGACCAAAGGTCCATTCAACCCTGTATCCAGTCTTCCAACAATGGCCAATGCCAGATGTCCCAGAGGGAGTGAACAGAACAGGGAATCATCACATGATCCTTCTCCTGTCATCCATTTCCAGCCTCTGACAGAGGCTAGGGACACCATTCCTACCCATCCTGGCTAATAGCCATTTATGGACCTAGTCTCCGTGAATTTATCTAGTTTTTTTTTTAACCCTGTTAAAGTCCTGGTCTTCACAACATCCTCTGGCAAGGAGTTCCACAGGTTGACTGTGGGCTGCATGAAGTCTTCCTTTTGTTTTAAACCTGGTACTTAATTTCATTTGGTGACCCCTAGTTCTTATGTTATGGGAACAAATAACTTTTCCTTATTCACCTTTTCCACGCTAATCATGATTTTACAGATCTCTATCATATCCCCCCTTAGTTTCCTCTTTTCTAAGCAGAAAAATCCCAGTCTTTTTAACCTCTCTGCATATGGGACCCATCTGTATACAGTATTCAAGATGTGGAAGTACCAAGGTTTCATATAGAGCAGGGGTACGCAACCTATGGCTCACGAGCCAAATGTGGCTTACTAGGAAGCCAAATATGGCTCTTTTGGAGCCCCAGCCCAGACCCCCCATTTTCCCTCAGCAGGGAACCAGCGCTGGTGCTACAGCCCCCCGCAAGATTGGAACATCAGCACTAGATTACTGCACAGGGGGTGGGGTGGGGCGGGGCAAGGGGGAGGGGAAGGGAGCGGCACTGGGGAAGAAAGCCCCGAGCCTGCCCCACCGGATCTAGCATGCGGGGAATAAGCAGAGCCAAAAATGTCTAGGCATACTTGTTTTCCTTCCCCCAGCCAGATACCCTACTCCCAGCCTGCTCCTGTACCGCACCTCACCCCCAGACCTCACACCCTCACCAGCACCTGCATCCCACTTGCCACCCAGATCCTGCACCCCCATCCCTATGCCACTCACTAATAGCCATGTCCCACACATTTAATCCCTCATTTTTGGCCCCACCCTAGAGCTTGGGGGGGGGGCACACAAAATCCACTAACCCTGGAACCACTGAGGAGTTAATCTGGCCTTGAACCTCAGTCTTCCCTGCCCCTCCCCCCATTATGGGACTGGAGCACTAGGGCAGTGAGGTTGTTCAGTTGGGGACCACATCAGTAATGTTTGGGGGTTCAGGGAGGCTTGCTTTTTTTTTGCTTCTCACTTGTGTGGTCTCTGATTTTTCTGTGGGTCAGTTGTCCCCTACCCACATAAAGTAAAGACAATGATGAAACCTTTTGTTTTGGACATATTTTATTTAAAAATGAAGCCTGGCCAACAAGCCCCCAGTTGGGTCCCAGCCCGCATCTGGCTGCATCATAACAATACTGCATGCCCCCCCCCACTCCACCCTGAGCCCATCATACTCCCACATCCCTGAACTCTTGCACCCCACATCCCCAGCCCCCTCCCATAAAACTGACAAGACAGCCTGAATGTGTGCATGAAGCTGGATTTGACCAGTTATGATGCCAACTTCAAAGAAATGTGCAAAAAGATGCGGTAACAGAAGTCCCATTAAATAGCATCAGAGTACAATTCATTTCTGCTATTAATCATTGTGAATTAATATTAAATTGTACATTTTCATCATTAAAATAGGCACTCTTATACAGCTCCTGACAACTTGTTCTGAATTTTGATGTACTTTGGCTCTTTGGTTTGAAAGGTTGCGGACTCCTGATATAGAGGCAAGAAGATAGGGTTAGAGAATAAGACAGACTTTTAAATTATTTCTAACATTTTTTTTTGACTGCTGCTGCACACGACATTTTCAGAGAACTATCCACAATGACTCCAAGATCTCTCTCAAGTAATTGTAGCTAAATTAGTCCCCATCATATTGTATGTAAAGTTGGGATTATTTTTTCCAATGTGCATTAATTTACATTTATCAACATTACATTTAATTTGCCATTTTATTGCCCAATCACTTTTTTTTTAGATTTTTGAAGCTCTTCATAGTCTGTTTTGGTCTTGACTATTTTAAGCAGTTAAATATCATCTACACATTTTGCCACCTCGCTGTTTACCCCTTTCTCCAGATCATTTATAAATAGGTTGAATAGCATTGGTCCCCATATGGACCCTTGGGGGCCTGAGATATTACATATTAAAAGATTTACTTTTAAATAGTGGGATCCTACTAGAAAGATGGGTTAAATGAAAAAAGGCTGTAACCATTAATTTTCTTACAACCAAGTAATTTCAAGTCCATATAGAATTTTATGGGAACCAACATGGGAAGTAAAGCATGAATGACATACTATCAGCTAGGAATGTGTAAGGCATTTATCAGACACTGTGCTCATGGGCTAGACTGTTTAATTGGTTTTGACTCACGAAAGCCTATACCAAAATATATCTGTTAGTCTTTAAGGTGCTGCAGAACATCTTCTTTTGCAGATAGTAACATGGCTACCTCTCAAAGCTGTTTGTGTTTATCCAGCTAAGATGGATTCAATTATTACAGAATGCATGCTTTCATTTAAAATCAAAGGCATTGGCTTTGGTGGGGGTTGGAGCAAGTCTTAGGAGAGCTGTGATGTGTCTTCTGCTGCTTAATAAATACAGTGTGTATTTAGGACTTCAGCTTCATGGAAACACTAATTTTCCATGTAACTTACACATACCATTCTGCACCAAATTTGCAGATTTGGTTTCTCTCCCCCCCACATGACCAATGCTGGATACAACTAATGTTATTAACTAAAAGTTTGCAATGTTTACATAAATTTAACTAAGTTACAAATTAAACCATGTAAGCCTTTTCCACCTTTCACACTAAATGTGAAGTCAAACTATTTTTAAAGATGTATTCAATTATTTAAAAATGGATTTTCCTAAGTTTTCCTATCAAGGAATTTTTTGTATGACATGTGGAGCGTTTAAAATAAAGGGCACACCCAAAAGCTTCACACAAATGATGCAAACGTCTTTCTGAAAACAAATTTGCTTCAGTGAACAAAGTAGCAAGGGACTGGACAATACTCAGAATCTTAAAACAAGTGGAATACAACTGGTATTTTGGAGTGACAAGGGGCAGCTAGTAAAACTAGAGAAAAAGGAATTTTTTCCCTTATTTTCCAACAATAACTTTCAATGGACTAATGCTACAGTCAATGAAAATGGTTCTTTATCTAGTAGAGGTGATGAAAACTGACAATTTCTGGAAGAGCTTACACTGTTCACAGGAGCTGGCTGTTGCTTGCCTGTCTTCACAAAACAGCAATTACAGATGTGTTCTTCTGGTTCCCAGACGCCTACCTTATTTGAAATGCAAGGTACAAGTTCAAAGCCTTCCTTGTTATATTTTATTTTTCTGATTCATTATTAGAAATTTACACCATATTGAGTTTTCTTGTTAAATATCTAAAGTGTCTTAGCAAATATGTCTCTAAAAAAGAGCACAATTTGAACAGCCTTCTGAGAAAGAAAAAAACAGGATTGTTTAGGCCCATTTTCTTTTTATTAATAATATAAGTTCTATAATCTCTTAACATTACAACTGCAGTTTTACAGTTAATTTCACACTAAATGACAAACACTGTTTGGCTTAATTAGCAGAAAGTTAAATTACAACCTTGATAGACATTAATTTCAAAGACTGCAAAACAGTTTGTTTTTGGATTTTGTTAGGTTGGTTTCAGTTAATTAGCATTATTATGGAAGAACTGTTTATCTTAGTCTCTGTTCACAGCTGTAAAGGAAAAGGGACATTTTTATATGTATCCTATCAAAATAAGCAACATGCACAGTACTGAAAGCCATGAAGAGACCTGTTGTTCCTTCTGGTCCTCCAAGTGGAAAACTTGTACATGTTACTTCTTTGAAGAAGTTCCCTATAATTGCAGTGCACTCAAACATTTGTAAGAGTGACTGAATGGTATATCCTAGGTGAGAAGAGATGTAACAGTCAATATCCTCATTCTATAGCTTTGAATTTTACTGAAAGACAGAGAAAAATAGCAGTTTCTTTTATATATCAGTGGTGACAAAAGTTAGTAAAAACTGCTTGTTTTGTACTGGAAACATGGCCAAGGTATCTCACTAAATGAAAAGTAACATGCATAGACAAAACTTCATCTTTGAACAGACTGCAGCTATAGTAAATGAAGCCTGTGAGAGAGAGAGAGAGAGAGAAAGAAAAATGTTGGAAGACTTAATTTAGCATTAAGAACAAAGCCTTTTTTACAACTGGTCATGATTCCTTTATGTACTTTTGCCTCTAGCAGAGGTATTACAAGTATGTAGTTACACTAGCTGGTATATTAATTTTCAGGAAATATGTAAATGCTGAATTTCTCACTTTTTGAACTACCAGAGTCATGTATATTTTACAGACACAGGGTTTTAATTAAGCTTTGAACAATCATAAGGCGCTTTAAAAAAGAAAATTACTAAGCAAAGTGGCTGTAAGATGAGTACTAATTAAAATCTGTTCATATAATTTGCTATTTGACTTTTTTGAGGCTTGTCCATTCCTATTACTGCACGTAGGAGGTCCAAGAATTACACAAGACAAGACTAACTGATGTTTTGCGATATCAACTTCACAAATTATCTGGTTATAATCAGAGATTTATGGGTGTATAGACAACTACACGAGAAGAGTTCAACTTCCATTAATGTTAATAATGGATGAGGAAGCATGGGTAGGAAGGTAATATCGTAAGGGGAAACAGTAGCATTTGTAGTGCCAGATAGTACTTTATATCAAATGAGCCAACAGATTTTGGAGACAGCACAACTTGTTCATAAGGAGTAAAATCACCATAAGGAAACAAAGTCCTTTTTTGCTTTAATGCTGCTTGTGTTGTCATATTCCAAAGAGAACGTGTTTTTCATGTATCCACTAATGTTCATTCATAAATCTGATTTTTCATACTTAGACATGCTATGTATATTGAGGCACATATTTACTGACTTCTAGCAAAACAATAGCGCTTAAGACCTCTGTATTACAGAGTGATACTAGTAGGCAGCAGGATTCCAGCTGCAGACATAACCACCATTTGCAGAGTATGCAAAGGTGAGAAATCCTCAGCATAAAAAAAAAAAGATTACAGATTATCTTGTTGAAAAGTACATGCTGTACATCTTGAATAAGGAACACTTAACCATATACTACTGAAGTTAGAGCTTTCAGATACTATGACTATAAATTTGTGGGTGTTGCTGAAACATGAACTCAATGGGGGCAAAACTTTAAAAGTAACACACAGAAAGGCTAGATTCACTTTTAAAACTAAAATTAAATGAAGTTAAAAAAAATTCTAGCTGCATTAAAAATACAAGAGTATCTTCCTATTTTGATTTGGAGATCATAATGAATTGGTTGAATTAGCTTTCTTTTTTAATTCTTTTATTTCAAAGTGCTGTTTGGATAGTCATGGTCTTTTAGGTGATTTTTAATCAGTTTTTCTATATCAGGTAAAAAATACCTTCAAAGTTTATTAGATATGTAGTATTTTTCAAGCAATAGGTTGATCAAGTATGGTACATTTAAAATAAAATGAATATTAAATACTATCAGACTACGGTGTTATAATCTGTTAATGTTTAGTTTATAAAAATTATAATATTTAATGCTTAATTACTAAAATTGACAATTTTTTAAAATAGTTTAAAAACAAATTCTTCAATTTTAAATTTAGGTTTTTCATGTGACACTGACTTCTGATATAAAAAGGTGTCCTGCATATACACACATTTAGCAGTTAGTTTGTCTTCATAAAGATAGCAACTAAAAATGTAAACTATTCTGTATGATTAAATATTTTAAGTATCAAAAGTTGGATAATTTGCTTTAAGAAAAAATCCATCTCAAAATATGAATGAATATAGACAGTTTTAAATTTTAATTTAACTTGTTTAAGAACCTGGTTTTTATGTAAAATTGTTTCAGGACTGATGTTGTATAAACGGTTTAAGAAAAAAAATCCATATTTTTAATTGTACAGAGGACAACATTTGCAGCTCAAAGTTATGTAAACCAATAATTCAGAAAGGACAATAAGAAATTAAAAATGGAATCTTAATTTTTAGACAATATATTCTCCATTTTAGATTAATAAAACTGTTTCAACCTTTTTCAAGATGGTTCTGGACAAAGTTTTATTTTAAAACAACCAAAGCATTTTCTACTGAGGGGTGGGAGATTATTTTGCATCGCCACAAAAATAAAGTGAAACTAGACACATTAGGAGTGCAGTGTTCATGAAGGCAATAATTTTATGTAACAAACTTCTTAATATACAATGAGAAACATCGGCTGTTCTGTACAAAACTTATGACTGACTAGCATATTAAAGAAGTTTATCCCAGCAATACAAATACAACTTAGGCCCCACTTTAAGTATTCTCAAAGATTTTAAGTTTTCAGTAATGCAGAAAGGGAGCCCAACATACCAAACATCCTACAGAACCACATTTGATCTTTTAAACAGAAAGGCTGCATTTACTCTTTAAATCAGTTATTCATTTTTAGGCTGTTATTTGCTTAACTCTTCACGCAGAAGTATTCCCTCAGTGTAATCCACCTCTTATGCTTCCCAGGAACTTTCCCCTAGCAAGAGGCTGTATTAACAGCTGCTTATGTAGACAACACCAATATCAGTCTTTGTTCTTCTTGCAGAGGATGTTTTAACAAAGAACATCTGGCTTCATCCAGTACAGAAACTATAATCATTAGCTGTATTGCCTAACCAAACTTGGAATGCCAACTCTGAATTTGCAAGCTGATATATACTTTGATATGCCTCTGCCAGGTTGTGTGGTAAGAGAGGTTTAGGAGTACAGTGAGTAAATCTGTGAATGTTAGTGATGAATGTTTACATTTTATTGGGGAAAAATCAATGTAAGAAAGATACTAGCTTTTAAAGTTCAGCCCATGTTATATTTGATTACTGGGATAAGAGTACGATGAGGCTAAAAATAGTAATTTTCAAATTTTCAGACAGTAAGGATTTTATAAAAGGTTCCTGTTTCCAAAGATGTTATTGGGGTCCACATATGCTTTGACAGACTTCAGCATCCCCAAGCCAACATCAGAAATACTCTCCTTCATCCACTGCTTCCTCAACTTGCCCACTGGAAAAACAAAAACAAAAATGCTTCAATATGTGGCATGATACTAGCAGCCAATCAATCTTATGACCATGAATGAATAAACACTGTGTGATAAATGCTTTTATTCAAAAATGAGAAATGTTTTGCTTTGTTTGATTTATTGAGCCCACCAGACTATCAAGCTCATTAAGCTCAGTACTCCCAGAGGAAGCTTGTGTTCTACACTGTCTACTGTCTTTGCAAACTATAAAATTTAGATGAAGTTTAGGTTGAAATCATGTGTCAGATTACAAATAGCGAAATGGTAATTACATCAATTTTTAAAAGCGCTCCAGATCCACATGTTATTAGGAAATTTAAAAATGTTTTTTATTTTCAGTTATTTCCTCCTAACATCTCAAGTATTGAGCTGCATAGCCTAAAACAGTTTTATGCAGGAAAAAGTAAGTTTTAGCTATTAAATAAACATCTTAGAAGTTTTAAAATAAGATCAGCCTAAAAACCAATAGAAATCTCTAACAGAGAAATTAAAACTGGTAAATGTATAAAATGTAATATTTTCTCACTGATTCCAGCACTATTGGCATGTTTCAGTTTCAACAAATCTCTATATAAATTAATGTATTTTTCCATAGTTGTAAATATAAATTCACAATATGAATGCAAATATTCATTGTACACTGAAAATTAAATACATTTACAAATAATAGAGATTTTCCCCCTAAATTTTGACAATTTACATTTGTTGGATAAAACAATTTTAACAACTTCTGTCACAAACAAGTTATTTTAATGGTTAACTTAAATGACCACTTTGGGGGAATATAATGTATTAATTAACCAAGTTATCAACCCTGATTTAATAGGTCAGTTAAAATACGGGACATTCTTTCATTACACTATAGCATTTAGCTTGCAATCTTAAGATACAATCCATTTGTCAGGATGAAGTGATATAGTATTACATCTGCCTCTTCAAAATCTTTAAAAGTATCTGAAGCTAAATTCAAACCATCTTTTGTGTACCATTCTCAGGGTAGCCATCAAACTGTCATCAGAAAAATGAACGATTGGGACATCACTGGAGAACAGAATATTTTTGTTTATACCTTAAGGAATACAAACTAGCCACGGTGCTGACTGAAAGAAAGCAGTGAAAAATATTGCAAAAAAAAAATATGCTGAAAAACAATCCTAAATGTAGTAAAAATAACTATTTGTATACATACATGTATAGCATAGGTATTAAGATTCATACGCTATAGTAATAACTCCCAATCTTATTTCACATCATCTAATAAATCCCCCTCTACAATGTTATTATAATTCTATTGTCTCCCACTTCATGTCAACATGAAATTTGTCTAGTTAAATTAATAAAAAACTATGAAGACTACTTCAAGTAATGGTCAAGCCATATCCACAATCTATACTTTGGCTGTTGGAGACAAGGAGCTGAAGAACAGTCATTGCCATTCTCAACTATTATCTGTAATACAGTTTCAGTGAACGTGTCCTGTGGTTACGGATGTAATTGTCCTGAAAAGACTGCAAACAACTGCTCCAACAAGATGGAGCACATTAGAACCACAGCAGGATGCCCAACAGCTAACATGCCTGCCTCTTTTTACACCTCCAGTAATAATGCAATTCCATGAGGAACTGAACTACAGTCTGAGCAGACACCAAACAGCCATTGCATATTTAATGAAGTCACTCACCAAGTGCTGGAAAACAGAAGGTGCTTGGAGTGCATCATTAGTTCTGTCAGAGTGATAATTTACACATCTATCTTGTCAAATTTTCTATGGTTTATACTTTTACAATAATAAATCTAACATACATTTGATTAGTGAACTGGAAAGTAAAAAAGCTGTACAGCAGATATATCAGTGGTCCTCCATGAACATATTTGATAAAAGATTTTTAACCCCTTCATAGCACTGGGCTGTGAGCTCCTGCTGTCCAGGCTAATGAGTTTTATATAGTCTTGTCAGCTATTGCATTTTTTATCATCATGAGGCTAAAAACAAAAGGTTAAAACAGTTTTCCTCAGTAAATTTAAATTGTTACATTTACCATCTTATATGCCCCTCCAATTTACATGTAATTCAAGAAAAAAGCTACATAAAAGAATAGGACTTGGTTAGAAGATTCTGATGTCATTCCTATAGTGCTATCTCTAATACCCTGGTTTAAGTTTGCTTCAGTCTTGTAAATATTCCCATTTGTTTTGTCTACATAGGATATCCTATTATAGTTTGAAGAAATTAAGTACCTCCATATATATCAAATGTTAGAGGGCCTGGAACCTGAAAGTTTATAGAGTCCAAGTAGATTATTCTTCATTCTTTCAAGGGCAAGAAAAAGGAATAAGATTCCTTGAGATGTTTTCCTGAAAAAGTAATTAAGCTTCTTAAAATTATAGCTTAAATACAATGGGATAGCTTAAAGAGACAGAGTTGTAAAAAAACTGACTAGAAATAAAACACCAATCTGAAAGAAACACTACCTTAAAAAGATCTAATTTTGAGCCTATAAAAGAATTTACTGTAGCTTAATTCTGAATAGTGAAAAAATCTCCTCCAGATATCAAATTTCTGAATTTTAAAAATTATATTTAAAAGCCACTTATGTTGGATCTACATGCACATCTTTAACTATGGAACAAATGTTTGTTTAGGTTTTTATTTCATCATCACAATAGTCTTACTTTGGGTCTGCTACTCTTTTCCCTACTAGTCCTGTCAGAATAATTCTGTGGTGATAAAACCATATCAAAATACCCTTACAAGATACTGAGACTAATTATCCAACATGAAAAATATGGGACTGACTTTTAAATTATAAAACAAATGGCAAATGCCCAAACAAGTGTGCTAACAATTGATTATACTGGTGCATAAATAGGTAATCAAAACCAGTCATACAATTTCAAGCATCATTAGAAACAGGGAGAAGAGATTCACTGCTTGCAAAATGGAACAGGACAAATGCAGCAAGAAAACAAATGTTATTTTTAAGATGCCTATGTTATAGAAGCAATGAAAGCTGCCAAGGAGTAAATTTAGATTTATTCATTTGTGTAATATTTGTGTTATGTGAACTTTTCCTAACCTTCACTTTAGTGGATCATCGGAGAGCAGGTCCCCTAGGCATGGACACTCCTTTGAGAGTGCCCCACCCGTCTGTTTGAGAGCATATTTTTCCTAATAAAATATGGTTAAGATCTGTTAACTATGTGGATAAAATTTTACAGATGTATTCTGGGATTCTAATCCTTTAGGGAAGTTAAAATAACCAAAGCAGAGTGAACTTTTAAGCAAATATGCACTTGCTCTGTTCCTGAATGGACAGCATACTGACCCATTGGATATTTCACTAAGGACAACTGAAATACAGTAGAGTCCCAATTATCCGACCTAAACTGGACCGACAGGTGGTCAGATTACTGAAAATGTTGGATGATAGGGAGTACAGGGAGGGAGGGAGGTATAGGTGCCGGAGCCACTTGGTCCCCATACCTGCCTGGCCCCTTCCCCCCCTGCAGCTCCTGGGCGCAGGCCAGGAGAGCGATGGGGGGCAGCGAGCAGGACCATTCTCCCGGCCCGTGCCTGGGAGCTGCAGGGAGGGAAGGGGCCAGGCAGGGATGGGGACCAAGTGGTGCTGGCAGGAGGCTCCAACCTGCAGGAGGCTGCTGGAGCCTCTTCAGCCGGAGAGGCTGAATGCGGCATAGCAGCGCAGGGTGGCTGGCCTTGGGGGCCGCATACTCGCGCTGCGCTTGACTAACAATGGTCCGCGGGTATGTCAGATAAAGCGGAATGTCGGATTACTGAAGGTCGGATAATCCGGACTCTACTGTAGTATGAAAACAGAAGGATCTCCTAATGAGTTAGTGAAGCGGAGGGAGTGTCTCTTCCTGTTCATAGAGGCATAGCTGTGCTAGTCTGTAACTTTAAAAACGATGAGTAGTCCTGTGGCACCTTAGACACTACCAAAAATATATATCGTTCATAAGCTTTCGTGGGCAAAACACATTTCAGTTCATCTGATGAAGTAGGTTTTGCCCACAAAGGCTCATGATACTATATATATTTCTGTTAGTCTCTAAGGTATTGCAGGACTAATGTGTTTCTCTCAGTCAGGGATTCAAGAAAAAGTTTAAAATTCTTCATAATTAATTGAAAAAAATATGAGAATGGAGATTGCACACATCAATTGGACTGACAGACACTTCCAACTTTTGCCAATATGATTCACCGTCTCCTTATCACATCATATCATTGTTGAAATGCCTCGGGCAACAATATTTTCATCTGTGATTGTTCATGCACCTTGACACAGTAATCCTGGTTCTTGCAACCTCAAGGCTAGATTACCACAATGTGCTCTATTTGAAATTCTGCCTGAAAAGTACCTACAAGCTTCAGCTAATGCAGTAGTCCAATCTGTAATGAGGTATTTACCACATAATGCCAATGTTGCACATGGTATGCACTTGCAAAAGAGCACCTGAAAGAGTTGGTTATAGTCTATGAGGATCCTAAATTGTCTTGAACCTGCTTATGTGAGAAATTCTCTCATCTTATAATGGAACTTGTGATTTTATGGACTGTTTTACTTTGTGCTTGGGGTGAAGTGCTCCAGGATAAAGGGACAGGGCTCTCACAATGGAGTTTCCTTGCCTAGGGGTTCTGCTCTCTGGTGATCCACCAAAGCTAATATTAGGCAAGCTTCAGGTCACACAGACATGTTTATTTAGGATCTCTGACTCTTACCAATACTTAGAATTCCATTATTAAATGTAGTCTAAAGAGCTTTTGTTAATAGCCATTTTTGGTGACGTAAGGTGCCCAGGTGTTACGCAGCAGACAGAATGACAAATTGATTGGAAAGATCATGGAAAATGCTCACAATTTAACATTTTAGTACAATGTAAATGATAACGCTGGTGTTGCTGAACAATGAAAGTAAAAAAGAATGAGTAGTTTAAAGAAGCATGTCAAGTACATTTCTTAAAC